ACTGATACTTATGCACACTTGCCCTGTGTGCAAGACCTACTGATGTCAGTAACACAAATGCAAGAGTAATAAATATCTTTGTTGAACCACTAAAAACTACACATATTGCAAGTTCCGTGATTTTTCAGTGGTTCAATAAATGTATCATCCTGCTCCTGCATTTGTGTAATTGTGACCTACACAGCCTTTCTCTAATTTTCTATGAAGTCAGTAACTTCCTTCTTTAATGAACATGGGCAGGCTTGGGTTATACAGGTGCTAGAAAAAATAATGTAACATCATTCAAAACTACAAGTTCAGCTTCACATGGGAGCAGTGAAAGAGGGGGAGAAGATTATTGATGGATTTTGTGCCACAACAGAGTAGGTGCAAGAAATCATAGAATATAGGAGTTGGAAGGGGCCTATAAGGCCATTAAATCCAATCCTTTGCTCAGTGCAGGAATCCAAATCAAAGTATATCTGCCAGATAGTTGTCTAATGTTCTTTGAATGCCTCTTATGCTGGAGTGCTCACCACCTCCTGAGATAACTGGTTCTGAATTACAGTGGTGCCTTGTAGACGATGATAATCCGTTCCACTGAAGTCGCTGTTTAGCGAATCATTGTCTAGTAAAAAACATCTCCCCATTGGAATGCACTGAAACCTGTTTAATGCGTTCTAATGGGGAAGAATCGTCGTTGTCTAGCGAAGATCGGCCATAGGAAAGCCACTTTGCGAACCGCCGATCAGCTGTTTAAATTGCTGTCTTGCGAAGCTTAGGTCCCGAAAACACCTGTTTTGCAAGTGCGGAGGAAGCTGTCAAAATTGTCCTCTAGCGAAAGTCGGTTTGCGAAACAGGGACCAAACATTGTCCAGCGAAATTCCCCCATAGGAATCACTGTTTTGTCCCCCTCCCGTCATGCGGAGTAACTGTCGAGCGAGGTACCACTGTATAATCTCAGAACTGCAAAGCTGCAAGGAATCCTCTGGATCATCAGTTCCATCCCCTGTCAGGGAGGCACAGTGGGGAATCAAACTCACAACCTTTGGCTGCACAGCCAAATACTTAAACCTCTGAGTTATCCAGCAGTTCCACTGAAATACTGCTTTAACAGTTAGGAATGTTTTCCTGATAGTCAACCCAAATCCGGTTTTATGTACATTGAACTCATTATTATGTTTCCTGTGCTCTGTGATGATCAAGAACATATCCTGCACCACCTCTGTATGACAATCTTTCAAGTATTTGAAAGGTGCTATCATCTCTCCCCCCCCCAGTCTTCTTTTCACAAGACTAAGCATACCCAGTTCTTTCAGTATTTCTTCATAGGGCTTGGTTTCCAGTCCTGATCATCCTTGTTGATCTCTTTTGAACTTGTTTCAGTTTGTTAGTATCCCTCTTAAAGTGCATTATACAGAACTGGACATCATTATCATTTATTATTCTTTATTAGATTTATATCCCGCCTGTCTGGACCCACGGACCACTCTAGGCGACATTGTGCTCAAGATGAGGCCTAACCAGTGTGAAATAGAGGAGGATTAATACTGATTTACTGATTAATACTGACTACGCAAAAGCCTTTAATTGTGTGGACCACAACAAACTATGGCAAGTTCTTAAAGACATGGGAGTGCCTGACCACCTTATCTATTCCCTGAGGAATTTATATGTGGGACAGGAAGCAACAGCTAGAACTGGATATGGAATAACTGATTGGTTCAAAATTGGGAAAAGAGTACGACAAGGCTGTATATTGTCTCCCTGCTTGTTTAACTTATATGCAGAATACATCATGTGGAAGGTTGGACTGGAGGAATCCCAAACTGGAATTCAGATTGCCAGAAGAAATATCAGCAACCTCAGATTTGCACATGATACCACTCTGATGGCAGAAAGTGAGGAGGAATTAAAAAACCTTGTAATGAGGGTGAAAGAGGAGAGCACAAAAATGGTCTGAAGCAGTGACAGATTTTACTTTCTTGGGCTCCATGATCACTACAGATGGTGACAAAATTAAAAGACGCCTGCTTCTTGGGAGGAAAGTGATGACAAACCTAGACAGC